GCAGCGTCTTTCTTAAAAAGTGCCATTAAAATCATGGACCCTTTCATATGACCTTCCCCACATCCCATGAGAAGAATGCATGAGAAAAAGGGGAAAATATTTTGAAAAATATACCAAGTCTGAATGTTTTCAGTGTTGTTTTCCTATGTGAAAGGCGTTTTGAGCTGGAATGACCTTTTGAGGTCAAGCCAGACTCTGCTTCACTTCCATTTCTTTGTCCACTAAAGGAAAACGATTAATTTTTCATCCCCCACCTGCCATTCAAGAAAAAAACTAACCGCAAAGCAAAAGCAAAACACACCGTTGCTGTAGTCCGTGTTCCTCTAGAGTCGTTAATGTAGCAAAACCACGCCAGGTGTTTATTTGTACCGTAGTCCTTCCTGCTCATGTCAAGGAATTGTGGAGCATGGGATCTCACCTTATATTCCTTCCTGTGAGATGGCAGAGCAGGAAAAAAAAAAGAATAACCGATAGTGTTTATTTTTCTTTCCTGAGAGTATTTTTTGTTATCAGGAACTTGAGATTACAGAGCCCATCTTGGCATGTGAAGGTAGAGGTATTATATGGGTAAAGCTATCATTATTATTGAGGCTAGTTACTCTGTGGGGGTAGGCAGGTGGAGGCTTTTCATTAATGTCAGCAAAGCAAAAATATATTCGACTGGTCCACAGCCCTGCACGGCGGATCACGGGGTGAGAAGGGCAAACTAAGGTGTGACAGCAAATAGAGATTACAGAGACAGCATCTGTCTGGGAAGAGCAGCTGTCAGTTATAAAGCCTCCTGTAACAAATGGAAGATTGCATGCTGGGTCTCTAGAAAGATAGATGAACCATAAAAACATTGTGAACTGCTACATCATGGTTTGAAGAGAAAATAGCAAATGGTAATAAAAGAGGTATGTACAATCCAGTGATAAATGAGCCCCACCCCATCCCTGTTTTGTGTGCATGGGTGAAAAACTCCGGCTCCAAAGACTCATTTGTCTCTACTCTACTATTAGGCCAAGGTAGGGATAACAGAATCCACCTTGAAAAGTGTCACATGATTTTAGCAAGGCAGGAGTCCCCAGATATATTTCAGCTCAGACTTTACCATGAGAACTCTGTTCGTGATTTTACACCTCTTTTGAAAAATAACAATGATGCTAATGGAGAGAAAACCTTCTCCATGCTGCCTTTGAGACCACCACCACTATTGCCCCCACTCCATCCCCACCCTTTTTTGGAAGGAATTTGAATTCTTCTTCACATGGTATAAAGCACTGAGATTCTCGACAGAGTTTGGACAGTTGTCTGTTTTTAAGATGCGTGACCTGTTGTTGGATTGACAAGTAGAGCTCCAAATGGGATAAGCAAGCAATATATATATAACCAGATTTTAGTTGTATTATTTTCACCATCAGAAAATCTGAAGCCATGGAATAATTGGAAAAAAAAAAAGATAGCTTCTATTCATATTATTTCTTTCATCTTATTACTGAGAGTGGAAAATCTGATTTTGCTACATTCTCACATGCTGTGAAAAACTGTTCATATATTAATCAGAGAAATGTTTGTGTTATGGAATTATCTGAATTTTACTAAAATGTATTTCCTAATTAAGAAAAAAACGGATGTGATAATGTTTCAAAATATGTATTCTAGCTTGCCTCATTATAAGTGAATACCATTTTTTTCTAAAGAAGTGATGTAAGTTAATCTAAATTGGAGCTTTTGTGCATCCTGAGTCTTATAAAATAGCTGCTTCAGACGTCGATGAATTTGACATTTAAATGACAATTGATGAATCTCAGAATATTATGGAGAAATGAGTTCAGGAAAAATGGAATCTTAATCATGTGAATACCTTCCTAAATTAAGTTTTTTCCATTTTACTGGAGAATATGAAGAAACTGGGTTGTTATTGTAGAAAGACATGCTTACCTTGAAAGCCTTTAACCTCTTTATTTCAGCACTAATAATTACTGTAAGAAATAACTGTATAGCTTATCGAAGCAAAATATTTTATAATTCCATTTTATCTTGAGTATGTGTTTTCACATTTTAATTTCCTCAAATACATTTAGTTGCTAGCCACCTTTGGCAACCATATTCGAGAATGGAAACCTATTGCCAGCAAAGTCAGGGAAGGTAACTTTCAAAAATTATTTTCATGTTAAAAGTTTGTTTTTTTCCAGAGAAGTATATCAGAGAATTCCCTGGTAGCAATGGACTTCTCAGGCCAGAAAAGCAGAGTAATAGAAAATCCTACTGAAGCCCTTTCCGTTGCAGTTGAAGAGGGACTCGCTTGGAGGGTACAAATAGCTTCACTTATTTTGAAATATATATGACTTCAGTTTGTTGTGCACAAAATGTGAATGTCTTTTCCCTCCTTCCTTGCTCAGAAGAAAGGATGTTTACGGCTGGGCATTCATGGAAGCCCCACTGCCTCTTCCCAGAGCTCTACTGCAAACATGGGTATGTCTGTTTGTGTTCATTTTAAACAGGTTGCAGATAGAGGGGCATTGAGATGTGGGCCCTAAGTGGATGCGGTAGAAAGTATGCAAGTTGTGATCATTAAAAAAACAAAAGCAACTTTCGTATGTATCTATTTTATTTCTTTAGCTATCCACCAGTCACAGCCATGGTTTCACCATAAAATCTCTAGAGATGAAGCTCAGCGACTCATTGTCCAACAAGGCCTTGTAGATGGGTAAGATGGTCCTCTTTGGTTGTGAGTGGTGTGTGGATTTCTTCTATGAGCAGGATTGTTCACCATTACACACAGTTGTGGGCCCTGGCTTATAAAATAGAAGTGACTTTGTATCCTCGTAATAGCTCTAGAGGGACAAAACCAAGATGTCTATTCCTGTGAAGGGTTACCGTCTTTGAAACTCACAGGGGTGTTTCACTCTGTCCTGTAGGGTCGCTATGAGCTGGCGTCTACTCTGGCAGTGAGTGGACTGCTGTATAATAATACTTAGTATGGATTTTGTGCTTAGTATTTGCTACAAGGGAGAAAGATTTGGCTCTCTCGCCCCTAAAGAGTTACAGTCTTAGAAGCCAATAGGGGCAGTTCTGTCGGGTCACCATGATTGAACAAACACCCGATGGCAGGGAGTTTGGTATTTTAAAAAATATGTTACATAAGTGAGCACATCACTAAATAGAACAGTCTGCTCATAATCACTTAGCACCAATATTACCTGTTTGTGCCAAATTCCAGCATCTCAGATATTAATTGATGGTGAGAAAAAGTAACCACTTTTGAATTTCAGTTAAGTTGGTGGTTGATATTGGAGTGGTTTTTGAACTTATAATTAATATGCTTCCAAAGAATGGTTTGTCTTATTTAAAAATGATATCTCTATAAATCACGCCATTTCTTGCATGTTTTTATGGCTTTAAAATTGTTTTGTTTCTATCCCTGTTTTCTTGTTTTGAAATTTTAGCAGCTTACAGCAATGAGAATTTATGAAAAGAATACTTATTGACAATCTATTATGCTTTTAGTGGATGTTAAGGAGAATGCAAGAGAAGTATATAAAATATACTACAAAAGGTTTAAAATATAAAGAATTTCATTTTTGTAGACTGACTCAGAATTTAAAAGTGTTCCATCACCTTGCTTAGGTTCCCTTCTCAAATTTAATAAAAATTATGGAGTCGGTATCGAGGTTTGGTAGAGAAATGAAACAAGCACTGCTTTAAGACGTGGTGATAGAATCTTTTATCTTCAAGGACAGGCTTGAGATGGTGACAAGGATTCAAGGTGATTTAATTCTGACATTTAGATAAAGACCCCTCTTTTCATGGAAAATTATTAATAGCAAGTCAGCATTTTATCTGACTCTAAATAAGAGAAAAGTTTAATATGCTTCTCTGTGTGTAATGCAGCCCTTTGGGATATAAATTTCAGTCGTCTGAAGAAATACCATCTAATGAGACCAAGAGAAGAAATCCACCCCAAAGGATTGTTAAAATGTTTTCGCAGAATTATCATTTCCTTGAGTTCTGAGCCTCGTGTTATAGATGGAGTGAACTACATGTATTAAGTATGACCGTGTTCTTTTAACTAATTAATTTATTTCGTGTTCCTGTGGAAAGACATGATGATGGTGCCCAGTAGTCCACTAGGTGGTAGTGGTGATCTACTCAGAAAAGGGGAATCACAGCTTGATTTATCAGCGAAACTCCCTTTTGTCCCTTCTCCCAGTGATGTAATGTCAGAACCTCATGCAGCACAATTAAAATGAATAATCTCATCAGACATCTGTGATGGGCTCAAATTTGGCCATCTCTTGTGGCCATGCACAGTGAGCTGATCATTGGAGACACCAGTTGGGGCTGTTCGCGTAGTTCCTTGGCCAAAAATTAATACCGAACTGGTTTTGCACTTTCTTGCCACGAAATCGGAATCCGTCCCTGGAAGCATTTTTCTCTTAGGCCATCAGGCCAGGACTTGTTTTGCTAGCCCAATATTTTAAAGACTTTCCCACCATGTTCTTCAAGGTTAAAGTATAGGATATTCATTTGTTTTTACTTGAGACTGTTTGCTTAATCATTCAATACCTGATGATAGGAGTGGTTTGTTTTAGAATATACTCTTCTTCCTGTTCTTTGGGATATCTAACAGTGGGGACTAGAATCACAAGAAGCAAGGAGATTTAGGGCCGGAGAGGGGATAACAAAAATGACGGCATTAGAAATAAATAGAATGTTCTCTTTCCAGGGCCTACTGTAAGCCAGAAGTGAAAATAATTTTATGCTAATGCCTCATTGTATGTAGGAAAGAGAGCCTTACCTGTGAAACCCCAGTTTTCTAGTGGAAAAAGGATACAGCTCTAATTGTTGATGTATTGTAAACAGTCTGGTAATTGGGCTATACATATTTAACTGATTAAAATGGGATTAGCACTGATGACAGCTTTAAAAATTAAGACGATGTTATACTGTATCATTTACCAGGTTTGATAATCCCAGCCATGGATTGCACGGGGGCCACTTCCAGCTGCCACCGTTCGAATAGACTTTTCCCGTGTTCAGCGTGCTGTAATTCTCTGAAGTCAATGCGTACATGTAAAAATATTGAAATGCCTTTTCTCTTTTTAGAGTTTTCTTGGTACGGGATAGTCAGAGTAATCCCAAAACTTTCGTCCTGTCAATGAGTCATGGGCAAAAAATAAAACACTTTCAAATTATCCCAGTGAGTAATTGTGATTTCACATTTCTGTATTAGAAATGATGTTAATGTATAAGCTTTGGGAAACTTTGGCTTTCTTTTATTAAATATCATTTGGGAGCTTGTGCTTTGACTAGAGTTAAGTTTGGCAGAAATCGTTTTATGAGCCTGAATTAATAAAAGAAATACAGGGATTGTAAAAATGAAATTTCCCTTTTCCCACAAAATGTGATTTAGCAGTATGATATAGACCCCAAGGCCCCCTGTTGTGAAAAGCTACTAAAGAGTCTTTCTCCTGAATTCCGCTAATGTTGTTTTTGAACCATCATGTTCAAGCCCTATCTCCTCTCAAACATGTTGCTGTTTTGTTTTATTTTTAATAGTTGTGGATAGAAATAGAAGGGCTTATGTATTGGTGAACCTTTAAACTTTTCTTCAGCAAATGTTTGTGATTCTGCTTCTTCATGCACCACTTGCTTCGGCTTCTGCTACACGTGTGGGTGTGTGCACATGTGTTGCACATGTGTGAACACAGGATCTATAGATGGAAACCTGGTTCTGTGCTGGAGACATCTACTCCACTGGTAGGAAAGTACTGCAACAGATGGCTAAATTGCTAGTTTTTCCTTTTCAATTGCTTCTCTTTTTTGAAATTAACTAAAGACCACGTACAGTGTCTGCCCTACTTCTTGATTGTGTGACAGTGTTCTTGGTAAGTATGATTTGTTCAGTGTCAGAAGACTGCTCCCCCCCCCCCAACACACTTTTGTCTTTTTAGGGCTTACTGTAACCTGGAAGTGAAAATAATTAAAAGCGAATGCCTCATTCTCTGTACCAAAGAGAAATACCATTACCTGTGAATGCCCAGTTTTCTAGTAAAATAAATGGATAAAGCTCTAATTGTTGATGTCAACATAATAGTATATGGATTATTGTAAGGAAACAATCTGTTAATTGGGCTATATTTTTAACCTATTAAAATTATACGGGAGCTTGCCTTATATCCCATTACCATAATATTTGACTGCTTCAGAATCAATTTTAGTGATACAAATTATGTGAATATTCATTTTCACTATATTAAGGGATGCTGTTAAGTACAATACATAGAAGCAAACTAGTTTCTGAACTGGCAGCATTCAAATCTGTTTATTTTTACACACAGTATTTCAGATTTCTCACTTTTGATTTCAAGAGAGTCTTATTATCCCAACTAACAGGACATTGGAGGAATTAAAAATTAAAAACAATGCACGTTACTTATCCTTGGATCAGATGATATGTCTTTTCATTGTAAGTAAAATCACAAAAAATAAGTAGCTAACTATGCTACATCATTGTTCCTAGAGTGATACATTTAACTTTATCCGTTTGCCCATTTTGACACAAAGAGTCGCAGTATGTGATGGAATACAGAGGGTCAGCACAAACAGAGGAAGACCTTCAGTGAGGTGGACTGGCACCGTGGCTGCGATACCGCTACCCAGAGAGCCCCCGTGGGTCCGGTGGTGCAGGACCAGGCAGGGGTTGCCCGTAGTCACCATGCGTAGGAAGCAGCTCGACAGCCCTCACAGCAGCAGCATAGGAGCGAGTACGATCATCCCGGTCCGTTCGCCCCCCTTACCAAGTTGTACTTCTGCCTCTCGCAGGTGGAAGATGGAGGTGAACTGTTCCACACCCTGGATGACGGCCACACGAGATTTACAGACCTGATCCAGCTGGTGGAATTTTATCAACTCAATAAGGGTGTGCTTCCATGCAAGTTGAGACATTACTGTGCTAGGATCGCTCTGTAGCCAGACCAGAAGTAACTTATTCAACCTTGGCAGAACGAGAACCCTAGGGGAAGAGAGAGAAAAAAGAAGCCCCATCAATAAGGCTGATGATGTTGCCATGGTGAAAAGGAAGTATTTTACCTGCAAGTTACAAAACATAGTTTGTGCATCGCAAATAAGCAAAGACTTGGATTGACATTGTGTTAATAATTTAAAATTCAGTAGTTAAAATTAAACCTCAGAAAAAACTGATTTGGTGTGCTCCTGTGTGATTTTTATATTGCTATATTTTCTTCAAAAATGCATAAACATCTAATCATTTTTACTATTGAAGCATTAGAAGTCTCACCCATACCATATGGAAAAAATTCTGGGTTTGGAATTATTTGTAGTTACATTATTTTTTTGTACCTTGAGACGTATGATAAACTTTGAGTTAAGAGAAACTATAACTTCCTCAGAACACTAAAAGCTCCTTTGAAATATGTATTTTCTAGGTTTATCATAATCTTACACTTAGATAATAATTTGAAGAAACGGCTTAAGGTTATTTTGAGATGGGCTGATATCTCCCTCCCCCCTCCCCCGGGTGACTTCATATATTATGAATTATTACTGATACTGTAAACTTATATTGGTGTTAGAGGGCTACCATGCTATGTACACATTGTTGATGGTGTTTTCCCCTCATTCGCTTAATGTCTGACTACCACGCTATTTGTTTTTAAGAAACAAAAACAAAAAACCCTGAGGGAAATTATATAATTTTCACATATTGTGACATAGAATCTGTAACAATATGACTTTGTTACCTTAATATTTATATTTCTCCCATGCGCCAAACCTCCGGAGCTGCGGTTCTCAACCTGTGGGTCACGACCCCTTTGGGGGGTTGAACGACCCCATTCATAGGGGTCATCCAATATATCTTGCATATCAGATATTTACATTATGATTCATAACAATAGCAAACTTACAGTTATGAAATAGCAATGAAAATAATTTTATGGTTGGGGGTCACCACCACATGAGGAACTAACTGTATTAGGAAGGCTGAGAACCAGTGCTCCAGAGCCTTCACTACTACATCATGAACTTGATCAAAATGAGTGAGATAAAAAATTCAGAATCTCTAAGGAAGCCAACAGATTCTTTTACACAGAGGGGCCTTTCTCTTGTCGCTGTGGACCCCGTTTCCATTTCTTACCATGACAGCACCACTGTGGAAGCCAAGAATTATGTAAGCTTGAGATACACGGAGTTTCTGCCTCCTTTTTCTGAGACCATCTAAGAAGTTTTAGGTGATGTTTTATTCTTTTTCCTTATTTATTTTTGTGGGAAAGACACTGTTCAAAAGTAAAAAGAAAAATTGAGACATTAGCATTAAAGCCAGACAAGATCGTCTTCAACTCTTCAAACTGGTTCTTGTTAAACAATATTTCAAATGACATATTTGAGTTTTAAGTAAAAGCTATGCTTTTGGTAGCAAAGCATCTGAAAACATTCATGAAACTAATAAAATGATCCGTCTTCTGAAAGAGAAGATAGATATTCTGCCTGAATTTTAAAAAACATTTAGGCTTCTGCCTGAACTTTAAAAAAAACATTCAATTTCGTTTTAGTCAGTACAAAACTAGTTCCTAAAATACCGAGGCATAGAATATAAATATTATAAATGTTCTAAAGTAGCCATTGAATTGTACAAAAGCTTGGAAAACCCAACTGCATATGAAGCAGCACGGGATAAGCACCCCTTTCCCCTGCTAGACGGTACCTTGACTAGTTTCAGTTTTTAAAAATACCTTTGAGTGTTGAAACGTTTTTTATGTTGCAATTTTTGCTGTATCAATTTGAAGGATTCCTGATGGGGTGGTGGTGGTGGTTCCGACCCATCGTGACCCTGTGCGCAACAGAACAAAACACTGACCGGTCCTGCGCTGTGCGCACAATGTCCCTGTGCTGGCGCCTGTTGTTGTAGCCGTGGTGTCCGTCCATCTCCCTGAGGGCCCTCCTCTTATTTGCTGCCCCTCTCTTTTACCAAACATGTCTCTCCTGACAGCATCTCTGGAATGTGTAAGATGAAGTCTCGCCATCTTTGCCTGGAAGGAGCGTTCTGGGACTACAACTTCCAAGACAGATGACTTTACCTTTTTAGGAGGCTGTGGAACTTTCAATATTCTGCAGCACAATTCAAAGGTATCGATTCTTCAGTCTCCCTTCTTTTGTGTCCCAACTTTCACGTGCATAGGAGGCCATGGAAAATAACATGGCTTGGACCAGGAGCACCTTAGTCTCGAAGTAGCATCCTTACTTTTCAATGAAGAGGTCTCATGAGACAGATTTACCTAATACAACACGTCTTTTGATCTCTTGACTGCGGCTTCCATGAGGATTAAATATGGATACAAGCAATACAAAACTCCTTGAAAATGTCAAGCTTTTCTTCATTTATTAAAATGTTACCTATTGGTCCAGTAGTGAGGATTTTGGTTTTCTTTTCATTGACCTGTAATCCGTACTGAAGTCTACATCTTTGATCTTCATCAGCAAGGGCTTCAAGTCCTCTTCACTTCCGCAAACAAGGTCATCTGCTTATCTCAGGTCGGTAATAAGCCTTCCTCCATTCCTGATGTCACATTCTTCTTCATATTAACCAGCTTCTCTGATGATTTGCTTTGTGAGAGGATCTATCCTCAGGCACACCTTTCCTGATTTTAAACTGTGCAGTATTCCCTTGTTCTGCTCTCACACCTGCCTCTTGATCCAGGGACAGGTCCCACATGAGCACAACAATGTTCTGGAATTCTCATTCTTCTCAAGGTTAGCCACAGCTGTTAGGATCCACGGAGTTGAATGTCATTGCGTAGCCAGTAAAACACAAGTAAACATCTTTTGGGTTCTCTAAGGTCCCTCTGATATCAATGTTATACCTTATTCGAGGCCCTCTTCTGAATTCACCTTGAACTTCTGACAGCTCCCTGTCAACTATTGTTGGATGTCCAGCAAAATATTACTTGCATATGATATCAATGTAATGGGTACATCACTAGGTAAGATTTAATTACCTTCAGTAAAATTTTGCTTGGACTCTATATCAAAGATGTTGGGTACTTCCCGCATGCGGCTGAATCGCTTTCTTTGAAATGGACACAATCATGAATCTCTTCCAATTAGTTGGCCAGGTAGCTGTCTTCCAAATTTCTTGACATGGACAACTGAGTGCCTCCAGTGCTGCATGGTTTTGTTCAAACAGTTCAGTTGGAATTCCATCAGTTCTTGAAGCCACAACAGCAGTTCAAAACCACCAGCCCCTCTTTGCGAGAAAGATGAGGCTTTCCGCAGTCCTAAAGATGGGCAGTCTCAGAAACCCACAGAAGCAGTTCTGCTCTGTCTTAGAGGGTCACTATGGATTGGAATCAACTCAATGGCAATGAGTTTTAGTTGAGACCAAATGGTGCCTCTTCTTTTCTTTTTGCTTCTATGTATAACTTCCTTTGTAATATAAATTCATTATTTTGAAACCCAGATTTGGTAGGTAGGTTCTGTGATCTTAAGCTATGGAATCCAGAACAGTCAGTGAGAGAAAGGATGACAGAGGGAAATAGTTATTTTCCCAATTCTTTCTGAGAAAGGACTTTGATCCCACCCCCATTTAAATCTAATATGAAACTAAATCTTCTAATCTGATACCTTTGCAGGTAGTATTAAAATGTATTTACAAGATAAATGTAAATTACCTTTGGATTATTTTCACCTTGACTTAATCAAGAGCCGCTACCTCGTACCATTTTTGAATACAGAAAGGACAATATCAGCTCTTACAAAAAACAAACAAAACTTTTCTGACCTCATTTTGACATTGGTATATTCCACTTTTCTACTAAGAAGTAATTCCAACTTTTTTTATTTTCTTACCTCGAGGGATCAGATAATCACTTTGAAATATGCAAGGATATAATCAAGATAAAAATGATCAGGAGTGCCTCAATTCAGAATACTTACTTCTTTCACACACGTTTTTGTATGCCCTGACAGATTTGAGTCGATTGGATAGACATTTTTATTTTCATGCTGTTGTAGGGGGGGTGGTCAGAATTCTCTTGATTCCCCTGCACCAACAGTGCTGAAATCTACACATGATATTGTCTTTCTGTTTATGAGCCACCTACCCCAGGGCCCACACTTCTCTCTAGAAGGAATGTTGTCATTAGTAGTGGTTCTGACCTGGTGCTCAGTGGCCCCAATGGAGAGCTCTTCTCCCTATGGGAGGCCGTTCTGTACCGTAGACACCACAGCGTGGTGAAGCTTATGGTTCTCCTTTACAGAATGTCTTTACATCGATACAATAAACAGACTCTTGAAGCAAGGTAATTATACAAGAAACACAATCCTATGTAGCAGAGCCCCAGATTGAAACCCTACTGTCTGTGGTTTACCATGTCTTCTGCTTGTGTTCATTATTGTCATCTAAGGCCTTCACTTTTCTGTCTTGTGTTCTTGGGAGGACACAGTGGTGGTTCTCATTCAATGTTACCCACACTTTCTATGGGACACAGAGTAGTTTGCTTGAGATGGAGGGTTCTCCTAACATATAGCATTCACGCAGCCAACTCTCCAAGGCACCAGTCCTGCATCCCCTCACTCCCACATTTTTAACATCTGGCATTGAGACATTCTGGTATCAGGGGCACTGTTTGTAATATCTCCAGCTGCATATTTATCAGGCCACAGGTAATATGGCTAAGGAAGAGGCAGACCTCTTGACTGGAAACAACGGCATACACCTAAATGAGCGTTGCAGGGCTCTCCCACCTTGAGAAGGCTTTCAGTTGAGTTTCTAACCAGCATATTGTTCAGGCTTGGCGGAAGACTCGGCTATGTGCTGGAAGCAGAGAGAACTTGAAGCATGTACCGGTGCGGATCAAAGTCTAAGGTAAAATAGAGGAGCAACAGGTACGAGGAAGATCATTAGTGAGATGGATTGACATATAGGCTGCAACAATCGACTCACACAAGGGAGGATCTTGAGGATGGCACAGGACTGTGACCCATAGTGTCACTATGACTCAGCTTACTTGATGGCACCTAACAAAGACAGCAGTATATTGTTACTGCAATTGGGACATTGTGTGATCAGCTCTTTGCAGTGCAAATTTCCTGTGCTCATATACGTAATTCATCCCTCCTTAACTCATCCCTATATGGTATACATATAGATGATACGGCTGTTTTTATGGAAATAATGCCAGAAA